CCCCTGGCCTGACTAGCTGGAAAGGCCACTGAAGCCCATGCGCAGGGCACATTTAGAAAAGAAATCTCTGAGAGAATAATGAAAGGAAGGATGCGCCATCAAAATTCCTGCAAGAAATGGTGGTGCTGGGCAGTGCCCCACGCCCAGCATGTCCTCAGTCCATGCCCATCAGTGCCCCAAAGGCTCGGGACCCACCGGTCAGTACGAGGGGAAACAGCTCCCTGAAGATGCTGACATGCTTTTTTCTATGATAACATTTTGTAACGGAACAGAACACGGCTTCCTCCTGTTTGGATAAGGGCTGAGTCAAGTGCAGAGCCGGGAAACACAGCAATTAAAACGTTCACTCGAGGTGACTCAGAGACCTTCTCCCTTAACTGGCCTCTCAGGCAGCACTGCAGTTCAAAGCGAGAGCGTTAACCTTTGCTCAGCCTCTTGCACACTTAGCGCAATGTCACAAGAACACTTCTTCTGTGGTGGTGTTTGTACATCATGGTGCTTGCGAGGGTGCTGTTGTGTCATAAGAAGTGGAAGAACAAACAAAATGGTCTCACCTCTAATGCCTTGCTTGCTGACCTTCCTTGCCTGTGTGTCTCACAATTTAATTGCTTCGTTTTCCAAGCTGAGTATTCCAAGGCCCTGGCCTCTTTTTGTTCATCAGTTCATTAAGCAAGCTGTGAATTACATCACATTTAGTGGCTTGTAGATGGGATCTTTGCCTTGCTCAAAAGTTCCATGTTCCTATGCAAGGAAAAAGGCCCTTTTGTCCCTCAGGAGTCTGTTGACCACATATCAAGCAACTATTTGTGAGATGCTGTTGTCTCAGTGACACACCCAATGAAACCAAAAGCTAAATACTGGCAGTGCCTCCTGGTGGCGCGCCTGCGTTGAGGTTGGCACATGTAAACTCATAGTTTGTCTTTGCTTTACTTGCATTTCTGTGCAAACATCCCTGGGGTTATTGTGTGGTGCCATTTAAATTTCATATGAAATTTCTCCAGCAGCTGCACTCCTTTTTGAAAAAATGTTGTATTACAGGAGAGAAAAATGTCTCAGTATATCATTGTCCTCCTGTCTTTTCTAAAGAAGAAGAAACGGTGGGAAGAGTGTAATGTTGCCTGGAAACACAGCCTTTGGGCGTTACCGTTTCTTTGATCATGTAATAGTGTCCCAGGGACACTACTGTTCAAAATAGCTGAGAAAATAAGCAAGTAATGTGTCAGTTATCTTGATTGCTATTAAAACAGTTCCTGCTACCAAATCATAAAGAAGCATTTCTCCAGGACCCGTTCACCCAGCTGGTGATAATGTCCTAGTAATAATTATTAGCACTGCAGACAATAAAAAGGAAGTTAAAATGGCTAGAAATGTGACCACTAGTTGGAAACTAAACTCACCACCACTGAACAGCATGGATGGGCCTGGAAATTATTGTGCCACGTGAAATAAGCATGTCAGACAAAGACAAATACCATATGATCTCACTTATATGTGGAATCTAATGAACAAAATAAACTGACGAACAAAATAGAAACAGAAGCATGGATACATGGAACAGACAGATAGATGTCAAAGGAGAGGGTGAGGGGAGGACTGGATGAAAGAAGGTGAAGGGATTCGCCAAAGAGCATGTGTGCATAACCCGTAGACACAGACCACAGCGTGGTGATGGCCAGAGGGAAGAGAGGGCGGAGGCTGGGTGGGGGTGGAGGTGGGCTACGGGAGGGGGGAAATATGGGGTCATCTGTAATAATGTCAGCAATAAAGATAAAGTTAAAAAAATTAAGAATAAAAAAAGGTTGTATACAAAAACCATGGCAAATGACAATTTCGTAGATAAGTTTAAGAGAATTGTAATAACAAAATGTGGTGGTCTTGATTGGGTCACTGTGACTGTCCAGAAATGGAGAGTACAATAAAAATGTATGCTAGACATTTCAGTAGACTGCTCTGGGCGATCAGCAACCCTCACAAAAGGAACTCAAAAGTACAGGTTCCGCAGACTCCCCTGTGCTGGGTGGACCGGCTCCACCGTGAGCACGCACCTGGATCTCTCATGACCGTGTGGGAAGCCCGAGTCCTACTCAGACTCACCCAGTAGCACATAAAGCCTGTTTCTCGTGTGTGTGCAAGCACACATTTGTCTGCATATGCCCTCCGGCACCCACGTGCGTTCATCAGTAGGCACGTCTAGCTGTGGATGTTTCATACTAGTGAAACGAAGAGGGTGGGCAACTTGATTTAAAAAAGTCTGTGCCTCAGAGCCACGGCCCTCCGTGTGTGTACTGACTAGGCTTCTGTCCTGTGCAGTGTTTTGCCACGTGTACCTCACGGAGCACTCGTATGTCAGCGTGAAGGCCAAAGTGTCCAGTACAGCCCAGGAGGTCCTGAGAGTCGTGGCAGAGAAGATCCAGCACGCAGAAGAGGACCTGGCCCTGGTGTCCATCTCCTTCTCCGGGGGTGAGCGCCCTTCTGTCCCCGAACACTAACCTATCGCCGGGTCTCCTCCGAGGGGAGGGAGTTCACATTCGTACCGAGTCAACGTGCGTGTGGCGCGTTCCCCTCGGGCCGCAGCTGGACGGCCACAGGGACAATGAGATGCCGCCCACCAGAGGAGTTTCCATGACGACAGCCGGGTACCGTGGGATGCTGAGCATCCTCCCTGCGAGCTGCATAGAGAGGCATGCCCATGCTCGGAAATACATTAGAAAGCTTCTCCTATTTTGTACTCTAGATAAGCCCTCTGTTTTCATATTTAAATTAACGTGGGAAATTGCTAAAGGATGAAATTACTTTAGGAAGGAAAAAGAAGCACAGCTAGGCATATTGCTGGCTGACGATTTAATACTTACAGACTCCCTATTGCAGGAAATAAAGCCTGCACCACAGGCCCGAAGCTCGCAGGCCGTGCTCCCGCAGGTGGACGTGGGGAGGGAGGCCTGCTTATAGCTGTGTCTCCTCTCGGGCTTCATTTATCCTCAGAGGATGGTTTCTTGTCTGTTTGGAATAAGATCACACAGATTACAAGCTGACACTATTGATCCCTGCGACCTGGGCAGACCCTTCGCTTCACCAGAGCCTGTGAGACTGCAACATGCTGGCCTCCTTTTGGGCTTATGGTTTTTATTGAATATCTCATTAACCCTGAGAAAAATACAAAGGAAGTGACTTAGCATTGAAAAATGGGAGGAGGTGAGCGGGTGGGTGGGGGAGGGGAGCAGATGACCGCATTGCTCTTCACCCTTTGTTAGCATTCTGGAGTCGGGAGAGGAATATCAGAATTTAACTTGACATGAGAGCATTATGGGACAGAATACTGCTTCTCTTGCTTTGTTCCTCGGAGCCAGGTAAACCGTCCCACCTGCAGGCTAGTGGATTGCAATGCGGACAGATCCAGCTGGTCAGCAAGGGGGCCTCCTCCCTCTCCTGGGGCCCTAGGTGTGCATCCCGTCAAAACATTACCTACATCAGTGGTTCTCAACTTTGGCTGCACATTAGAATCACCTGGGAGTCTTTTTAAAATCCCGATTTCTGGGCCTCATCCTCCGGAATTCTGTTTCTACTAATGCTGTGGCCCCACCCCATGACAAAGAAACAGAATTTCCAGAGGATGAGGCCCAGAAATCGGGATTTTAAAAGGACTCCCAGGTGATTCTAATGTGCAGCCAAGGTTGAGAACCACTGACCTAGAAAAACAAAGAGCAAAACTTTGAGAAACTGGATTACATGAATTTTAATCAGAGAGTGGTTGAATTTTTAATAAAAATATTTCAGACATTCCAGATAGATGTGACAAATGATTGTTTATTTAATTTTAAGTGACCAAATTATTAAATGATCCTAAACAATATTAAGTTTCATCAAAACCAACGTTTGCCTCTCAAGACAATAACACTACAAAAAGTAGTCCCGGGTCCCCGCTCAGAAGTGCTGGAGGAGAAAGGACCTGAGTGAACTGGGGGGGCCCCAGAGAGTCATGTGGGACCCCACAGGGCCATGTGTGAACCTGGAAATTAATGAGCAGCTCTCTTACTACCCAGTTTCTATCTGATGGCCATGAAATACCATTTTTACACTCTATTAAATCAGATTCACCAGGGTGGGCAGTGGCGAATTAATATGCGAAGACTCATTGCTAATCATCACTAGAAATATCAGCTTCTCTCTGGAATTATCCCACCAGTTTGGAAATGTGCCATCAGTTTCCATCAATCAGCAGTTTCATCCATTAAGAACCTTTCTGCCTGCAGCTTAATATCCCCTGAACAATCATATTTTTATGAAGAAGAAGAAGAAAAAAACAGGGCTTAATGTATTCCTTGTTCTAATTACACAGTTTTCAATAAATAATGTTTCAATTGCTACTGCAAAGTAAAATGACAATGAGATTGACTGTTAAAAAAAAGTGTAAAGATGTTGGCTTTTTGTAGGTTTCATGGCTTTTTCTAAAAAGACTGGTACTGTTATCCTCATAGCTTTCAGTAGGTTTTGTGCTATTTTGTACCGAGGGTAGGTATATGTATGTAGGTAATAACAACCTACCCAGATATTCAGAGCTTAAAATGTTTTCGGCTTTAATCTTTTATAGTATGGTGACAAACCTGAAAAGAAGGGGGATTTCTGAGCACCTGGAAAAATTACTGTCAGACGCCATGGTATTCGATCCCATAGCAAGTGCAGAATGGCTCTTATAAATGCAGATTGAAGGTACATCTGGGCACACAGAGGGTTGCAAGAAATTGTAGCCAAACAAAGAGGGAGGAGATGGAAGACCCTCTGAGCCCAGCCGTGTGGGACCATTTACTACACACGTCAACAGCCCGACATGACAGTGCTATTGATCTTTATAATGTGGGGCTGTAAAGAATGTATTAGATTATCGTTCGTGTGCTCTGTATTAAGCAGAACTGTTCAAAACAAAATTTGGCATTTACGCTGATTAGGTTATCTAGAAAAAGAGGTGGGATGTCGCCTTTCCCAGCCAGACTGGGTATTGGAAGGGCT